GATGCCTTAGGCACTACACCACCAGAGCTCCTAATGAGTTACTTTAAACATGTTTCATTTGTGCTGTTTGCAAAAGTCAAGTTTGAACAACTGCAGTTTTTATGGTTTTGTTTAGAAGCTGAATTCCATCACTAAGTTTTGTTGACAGTGGGTTCAAGAGCTTTCTGTAAGGTGGCTCTAATCATGAAATAAGTTACAGCTTTAATATTTATAGATGGATAGACAGTCTTCAACTCAAGACTATAAATTTTAGATTTATTTAGTAGATTCTGCAGTTTGGGTGCTGATGTTTGTTTTAATAAGATGAAATGTACATACAATTAATTGTATAGTTCCTACATATACCATGTGATGGATTTTGGCAAATGTGTCCATGCTGGTACGTGTCCACTTGGGTAACCTACATCTCAATCACAATAGTATAAAAAGTTCTCATACCCCTTCCCAGTCATTGCTAACCTCTAGAGACAACCATTCTTCTGCAATCTATCGCCACCCCTGTCCCTTGAACCTTATGTAAATGAAATCACATAGAATGGACTCTGGGTTTGGCATCTTTTTCATGTTTGAGACTCACCTTATGCAGTTCAGGAGGAGTCTGATGGTGTAGTGGTTAAGGCATTTGGCTGCTAACCAAAAGGTTGCATGGTTGATCTTCATCCAAAAGGTTGGTGGTTTGAACCCACCAGCCACTCTGCAGAAGACGGACAAGGCCATCTGCTTCTGTAAAGATTTATAGCCTTGGAAACCCAATGGGAATAACTATGAGTTGGAATCGACTCAATGGCAGTGAGTTTGATTTTTTTATTTTATGTAGTTTAAAGAGCATGGGATTTGGAGGCTAAGTACTAGAGATTCAAGTCTTGACTTCATCCGTTACTAGTATTTTGCCATTAATTAAGTCACTTAACCTCCTCGAGTCTTATTTTTCTTTTTTTCTCTAAAATGTTAGTAAAAATTTACAACTTTGTTTCAAAAGCTTTTCATGAGTTTCCACAGGATATTGTAGGTAAGGTACTTTTTTAAAAAAATTATACAGCGCTATACAAATGCTGGTTATTATGTAGGACCTTTCAACAGAGTTCATGTCAGCATCTTTTCTGCCTCCCTACTCCACTTTTAGAGCTCTGGTGGCACTGTGGTTAAAGCACTGGGCTGCTAACCAAAAGGTTGGTAGTTCAAACTCACCAGCTATTCTGTGGGAGAAAGGTGAGGCAGTATGCTTCTGTGAAGATTTACAGCCTTGGAAATGCTGTGGGGCTGTTCTACTCTGTCCTAAATGGTCATTATGAGTCAGAATCACCTCTAAGGCAGTGAGTTTGGTTTATTACCCTTATTTCTTTGAAGAAAAATCTATATCTGAATTTGGTTTTGAAACTGTCCTCCCTATGAGATCTCTCCCTTCTTATCATTCATTTCTTCCCTCACCACCTCTTCTTCCTTTATTAAATCTAAATCATCTCCTAGGTGAACCACAGTTAGTTTAACATCTCACTGGAGACAAGCCCAGATAGATTTCAAATACTTCCCTTCTGTTCTAACCAGTGACTAGCTGCTATCAAGTAGACTCCAATTCATGGTGACCCCCTATGTGAAAACCATAGGGTTTTCAATGGCTGATTTTTCCGGAAGTAGATTGCCAGGCCTGTCTTCTGAGGTGCCTCTGGGTGGACTCAGACCTCCAACCTTTCAGTTAGCAGCTGAGAATGTTAACTGTTTATACCATCCAGGGATTCCTTCCCTTCTGTTCTGTTCTTGTTAGGTGCAGTGACATCAGTTCTGACTCATAGCAACCCTGTGTACAACAGAATGAAATACTTCCTACTCCTACACCATGCTCACAATCCTTGCTATGCTTGCATCGTTGCAGCCACTGTGTCAGTCCACCTCATTGAGGGTCTTCCTCTTCTCTGCTGACCATCTAATTTACTAAGCATGATCTCTTTCTCCAGGGAATGGTCCCTTCTGACAACCTGACCAAAGTAGATGAGAGAAAATCTGGCTGTTCTCACGTCTAAGGAGCATTCTTTCACACTTCTTCCAGATTTGCTTGTTATTCTGGCAGTTCATGGTATTTTCAGTTTTCTTTGCCAACACCATAATTTAAAGGCATCAACTCTTCTTCGGTCTTCCCTACTCATTACCAACGTTTACATACATGTGAAGCAATTGAAAATACCGTGGCTTGAGTTAGGTGCACCTTAGTCTTCGAGTCACATCTTTGCTCCTTAACATGTTAAAGAGGTCTTTTGCAGCAGATTTGCCCAGTGCAATACAATATCTGATTTCTTCACTGCTGCTTCCATGGGTGTTGATTGTGGATCCAAGTAAAACAAAATCCTTGACAGCTTCACTCTCTTCTCCATTTATCATGATATTGTTTGTAGGTCTAGTTGTGAGGATTTTTGTTTTCTATTCTAATACAAACATGCAATCAGGATGTGTTGATTATCACTGGAGATTGGGATGCAAAATTTGGAAACAAAGAAGAATCACCAGTAGTTGGAAAATTTGGCCTTTTGATGATAGAAATAACACTGGAGATTGCATAATAGAATTTTCAAGACTGATGACTTATTCATTGCAAATACGTTTTTTTCAACAACATAAATGGTGGCTATACACATAGACTTTGCCAGATGGAGTACACAAGAATCAAATTGACTACATTTGTGGAAAGAAGCAATGGAGAAGCTCAATATCTTCAGACAAAACAAGACCTGGAGCTGACTATGGAACAGACCATCAACTGCTCATATGCAAGGTCAACTTCAAGCTGAAGACAAAACAAGTCCATGAGACCCAAAATATGACCTTGATTATATTCCTCCTGAATTGAGAGACCGTTTAAGAATATATTTGATGCATTGAACACCAGTGTCTGAAAACCAGAGGAATTGTGGGAATTGTGGGATGACATCAAGAACATCATTCATGAAGAAAGCAAAAGGTCATTAAAAAGACAGGAAAGATATATAGGGTTGGCAGACAATGGTCCTATAAGTTTATGTGAATGATCAGAATTCCCAGGTGTTTAGTAGAGCTGACAAGGGACAAGGTTGTGGTCACTGCTTGGTCACAGCCAGCTACCCAGAGGGACCGAGTAGTTGAACCTGTGGGCTTGGGACCATAGTCACAGGGGACATCAAGCTCAATTGGCATAACATACTATACAAAACAGCGTTCCACCTCCTACTTTGGTGAGTACTGACTGGGATCTTAAAAGCTAGCAAGTTGCCATCTAGATGCAATGATGGGTCTCTCCTCATCAAGAGCAAAGAAGAAAGAAGAAAACCATAATTAATAGAAACAATTAGTCCTAGTGACTGGTACACCATCTGATCTGCAACCTATACAACCATGAGACCAGAAGAACTAGATGGTGCCCGGCTACCACTGTCATCCACTTGGAAGGGATGTAGGAGATTCTGGTAGAGAGGGAGAACAATGTGGAACAAAACTCAAAATCATTTGGAGGAAAAAAAAAAAAAAAAGAAGGTAGGGACCAGGTTTGCTGGTCCAATAGAGCCTAGAGCCCAGTGGAACCACTCAGACTATGGTCCCTAGCTGCCCTTCAGGTCTGGAATTGAACCCACACCTGTGGTTTCCAGCCAAACAAAGTACAGGCATGTGAGTTAAACATTTACCTCAAGTAGACACACGCCCTGGAGAGAAGAATCATGGGAGAAGGAAGGGCTGCTTATGCACAGGGAGACAGCTCAGGGGGCAGGAGAGTATGGAGGGATGGACACTGGGAAGAGGTAACTATGGGGAGGAAGTGGGAGGGGAGCTGTTGCATTGTGGTAAACTTTGGTCAATGACATGAGACAAAGTATATGTGAACTGCTGTATGGAAAGTGAATTTGCTCTGTAAATCTTCACCCAAATCACAATAAATAAATAAATAGATAGATAAGACAGGAAAGGAAGAAAAGACCAAAATGGATGTCAGAAGTGACTCTGAAACTTGCCCTTGAATGGAAAGTGGCTAAAGCAAATGAAAAAATTGACAAGTTAAAAGAGCTGAACAGAAGATTTCAAAGAGCAATTTGAGAAGACAAAGTCAGTTATTATAATGAAATGTGCAAAGACCTGGAGTTAGAAAACCAAAAGGAAAGAAGACACTCAGCATTTCTCAAGCTAAAAGAACTGAAGGAAAAATTTAAGCCTTGAGTTGCAATATTGAAAGACTCTCT